TAGTAGCGTAGCCAATCAAAATGCAGGATTTGCATTAGTCCACTAGTTGGGTGATACTAATATAAATTATATTAGTATTGAAAACAATTTAGGTATCGTCAGCAATGTTAGTATTGTAAATGATATTGGTGTTGTAAATAATGTTTGTATTCCAATGAAAAAAAAAAGGTTAGCTGGAGTAGTTTACTCGCAACGTAATACAGCATTATTTCCCCCAAGAAATGTTAACGTGCCGAAATAATTCCTGCAGCCAGCTTTCATGGAATTCTAAATGTCGTGCCAGTAGATGACTTACCTTCATGAATTGCGAACGTAACGCCGCATTGATCATAAAACTGTGCGTTTTCGTTGATCACAGAAATCTCGTGTTTGTTCAGCTCACAGGTTCCATCTGTAACCTTTTGGGAGGACATTATGAAGTTTGTAGACGTACACCATTCGTTCCTCGTACATAGTTGACCGCAGGATATTAAACTGGCTGACTCAAACTCTTCTACAACGTATCCCATGAGTCGTTTATTTTCCTACGTTGTGAAGAATGCTGAATGAGAATATGCCGATGTTTCCTCAGCTGCGTAAACAGTTTGAGACAAGAACAGCAACACAACTACTTCCGACCTCATTACGTTCTGAAGATCATTACGAACAGTGAACTTTAAATACAGTAGGTTAGTCATCTAAACGCCTCTAAAATTGTGTTTGCATTATTAATGGCGATATGACAAAGTAAAGCTCAAAAGCTTAACTAACGGTCACTGTATCGCATACGTTGCATTGTACCTATTTGTGGAATAATTATTTAGGACAACTTTTTCCAATTTCAAGTTTTTCTGTTTATCCTCGTTAAAAATTTGTTGCTGTTGTTTGTTTGTTTTGTTTTGTTTTGTTTTGTTTTTTAATTTGAACATAAATTTGGAGCTAATTAACTCTTTGAGGCAGGGGAATTCAATGTATTAAAATTATCGGGCGTTTAGGCTAATCATGGTGCTTTTCAATGACGTACAGCACACATTTTAGCATTATAACATACATCCATTGTAATTTACTTTTAATTTAACTTTCTCTTTACTGTATTTTTATTATATCTTAATTGATCTACTAGGTTGTATTTACACAGTTTTTTTAGGACAATTGCCATGGTTTTCTTTGTCGTATCTATGGACATACATATCTTAACTTTTAGAGCAGTGTCCCCAATTAGCCATCTAGATAAGAACCCCCGACACTTAAATAAAGTTTAAGACGATGATGATGATGATGATGATGATGAACAAAGTGTTTCATGGAACTAATCAATTGGTTTTTATTTCCTTTCAATAACATCATTTATACAAGGATGTTCTTTATGATGCGAGTGGTGATTACCTGAGACATCAAATTTTGACACGATTAAGGACTCCGGCCGTCGGCTTTGCATAATTTAAATCCAAAATGGCGGAGCAAACATGGCGTGGTTTTAATTCCAATAGCAAAAAAAAAAAGGAAAATTAAAATTCTGACTCCGTCACCCCTCTTTTCCACAAGCAAAAATATAAGAGTTTACGTTTGACACATTCTTTAAAAACAGTTGTACTATGGTTACTTTAGCGCCAAAACGTAACATTTATAGATAGGATGTCTGTTCCGTTGCCTCAAACCCCAAAAGAGAAAAAGAGTCTATTGCGGTTGTCATGGAGATTACGGAGATTCCTCCGTGTATGCGATACCTTCCTCGATGTCTTTGTCGCAAACATCCAAACGAAGGAAAAAGATGTAAAAGAGCTTTTTTAAATTCTGGGATTCGTAACGGGTATATAATGATGTTAATGAGTGAATTGCTGTAATGGAGGAGTCTAATGACGTAGACGGAAGCCAAGGGTATCTGCCGACATGACACGCATAAATTGAGTACTACAACTAACACCTCAAATGGAAAACACGTAACAACAAAGGTACCTGTGAGGAATAAAAGTGTCTTCCTAAGTTTTTCCTCGCTTGCATTTCTCTGTAAATTTGGCAATCGAATCCAAGGGTCTTCCAGATAAAGCAGCAACAAGAAGTCGTAACAGTGAGTGGGGTTGTCAAAGAAAATATGATGACCATGACACAATGACGACGGGTTATGACTGTGAAAAAGAAAAGAATTCTTGACGATGTAACAAGTGCAGCTAAGCACCGAGGTGTCACAATGGTCAACATATAGACACGTTTGCTAAGCATGCGATGACGGAGAGGCCAGCCAATGGCATGCATTCTTTCCAACGCTGTTACAGCCAGTATCAACACAGATGTATGGTCGGCTAGCATGTCAACACAGTCAAATGCAACAAATAGCAACTGCTCTGTGGTATGGATATGCAGTGAAACGTAAATG